TTTGATTTGAGTAGAAAAATTTTTGAGTAAATTTTACTTGATTCAAGACAAACTTTTCAAAATTATTTTTTTGGTTTAAGAATTTTTCTATTGATTCAAGTTAATTTTTTTTATATTTAAATAATTTAATTATCAAACTTGTAATATTTTTACAAGCAACCCGAAATTAAATAAATATTTAGTGTAAACTAGCAGCCTTGCAGTCACTATGTGACTGCTATGACTTGTGAACTATAAATAAATAAAATTTTGCTTTATTTAATAATGACTTTTGTTAAATTGCACTGTACCTTCTTAATTATTGACGTTTTTAAAGCTTTCATTTGAGTACCCACATGCATTTTTGATATATTTTTCATATATACATATATATAATATATATTTTAAAGATATAAGCTCATCCTGACATTACACTCATCAAGAGCTTTCATTTAAGTACCCACATGCATTTTTGATATATTTTTCATATATACGTATATATAATATATATAAATATATAAAATATATGATAAATTGATGTGGGTACTCAAATGAAAGGTCTTGATGAGTGTAACTCCAGGATGAGCTTATATCATTAAAAATATCATCACTGGACAAAATACAACGTCATTGCTTTATTATTCACATTTTTTAAGATATAAGCTCATCCTGATGTTACACTCATTAAAAGCTTTCATTTGAGTACCCACATGCATTTTTGATATATTTTTCATATATACATATATATAATATATATAAATATATAAAATATATGAAAAATTGATGTGGGTACTCAAATGAAAGGTCTTGATGAGTATAGCATCGGAATGAGCTTATATCTTTAAAAATGTCAATAGTTCACAAGATACAAGGTAATTTCTCAATTACGTATCTAGAGATAGAGAATTTTTAAATGCAACCTCAATACTTATCATAATAAATTGACCATTGATAAGAATGAAATGAAACCTTGAAAAGACAGAACTCCAGGTCTCGACTTTTCCAACGATACCATAAAAACCCATTTTATCATATAAATACACTGTCCACAAAATTTTACTTATTCCTTCAATAATATGGACAATTGACGTACTTTCAAATACTACCAGCTAATATTTTGTCAGCTAAAAATCAAGCAAGAATTCCCTGTAAATTAAAGAAAAATTCCGAGCAATAAAAGTAATTTTCTATCGCATCTCAACAAGAATTGGGATGAGAAGGTCTCCGGGGTTCGGAGCTCCAGTGAAAGAGTTAGTTCTTGGTCGGTCCTTGTTGGTCCTTGTGCAGTGCCTTGGAGTAGGCACACGCTGCAAGAGTTAAAACAACAATAGCGCTGATTACTGGACGGCAAAAGGGTGTGGCAGCGCCATTGAGTCGTTACATGCAGGAGCTAAGTGAGACGGAGACTGGGTATGGGCAAAGAAGAGACGTTGTTATGTGGTACAGCACTGGAGCAACTGCGAATACCTCGGCAACTCAGTGCGGGATAAAGACACCCAGAGAGAAGGGAGCAGAGGACTGGAGCCGCCAGTGGGGGCTGAAGCTATATACTATACTATGGGCGACCGAGACGCAGAACCCGAGACAAGGATGAACCACATTAAAGGGGATATATCAAGCCATAAATAATCAATATATCTATCCTCAGTCTTTTCAGATTTATTTAAATATACTTTTTTCTCTCTCTCTGCTCTCCTTTCTCCATTTCCATTTCTCTTATTTTTCCTTTTTCACGGACCTTTCAAGAAAACTTCCTTATTTAACCCAAAAATTTTCCGTATTTTAGTTTTATTATTCATTATCATTTTCATTTAAATATTCATTTTAAATTTACTCTTAGTTCAGATAATTTTAATTTACTTTTTATTTTGCGAGAAAGCTTCTTCAGGTCTTGCCTCTTGTTTCAATTCTCTTCTAATTTCGTCTGATAAAATTTTAAAACAAATTTGATTTTTTTTAAAATTATAATTTCCTTTTTTTTTCCATTAAAATTTTAATTTTTGTAAAATTGAAGTAGAAATTTAAAAAATAAGATTAATTTTATTGCAATAAAATTATTAAAAAAAAAATTTAATTAAAGAACTCCAAGGATGAAAATTAAAAAAAAATTATTAGTGGAAATATTTTAAAGAATTTTTTTTTCTAATAATAAAAAAAAAAAATTGACAGTGGTCAATTTTTTTTAAAACAAATTTGATTTTTTTGTTAATTATAATTTCTTTTTTTCCATTATAATTGTTAATTTTTGTAAAACTGAAGAAGAAATTTAAAAAATAATTTTTTTTTTATTAAAAATGATGAAATTACCTAATAATAAAATGTTATTTTCAAATTTGTTCAATTTTACAAAAATTATAATTTTTAATGGAAAAAAAAGGAAATTATAATTATTTTCATTAGAAATTTTTTTTTTTATTTTTATATGTTGAATTTTTTCATAAAATTTTTTTTTCTGATAATTTTATTGCAATAAAATTTAAATGAAATTTCTAATAGCTGTCAATTGTCAATTATTTTATTTTTATTACAAATAAACTAAAGAAGAAATTCTTTAAAAAATTTCCATTAATAATTTTTTTTTAATTTTTACATGTGGAATTTTTTAATTAAATTTTTTTTAAATAATTTTATTGCAATAAAATTGAAAAAAAAATTTCTTATGTTATTAAAGATCCTGAAATTAAATAACATTATGAATTTTTTTTAATTTTATTGCAATAAAATTATTAAAAAAAAAATTTAATTAAAGAGTTCTACTTGTGAAAATTAAAAAGAAATCATTAATGGAATTTTTTAAAGAATTTCTTCTTTAGTATAATTTATTTGTTATAAAAATAAAAAAATTGACAGCCATTAGAAATTTTTTTATAATTTTATAGCAATAAAATTATTAAAAAAAAAAAAAAAATTTAATTAAAAAATTCATGTAAAAATTACAAAAAAAAAAAAATTGTTAATGGAAATTTTTTAAAGAATTTCTTCTTTAATTAATTTGCAATAAAAATAAAAAAATTGACAGTTGTTAGCTAACTTCAGTATCATTAAAAATTCTTCCTACTTAGATACTGCTTCAATAAAATTTAATAATTATTTTCTGATTGGTGGTCATTGCGCTGACTAATAAAAGTATGTAATCAGTTCTGTAAGCGCGAATAATAAATAATAAATAAAAAGTATAATAACACTACTAAAATAGGTTTGTTATCAAATAGTTGTTTCGCACGATAAAGGCCTATGGCTGGTGCAAGTGTGGGTGGGTTCAATAATATATTTGCGTTTACAACAATTATATATATGTATACACGTCTATATGCAATGTAGAGAGTATATAGACTTGATAAGCATTTATACTGGCAATAAGATAAGACTGATATACTTACCTGAGCATGACGAAGCCAAACCACCTTATTTTATTTATTTTTTTATCTTTTATAAAGCCAGACGGTAAAGGGCAACCATTGACAAGTTAAATAAAGTACCTATACAAATCTTTCATCTGTGCATCAGACAGTTGTTAAATTTTGCTCATCTTTTATTTATTCAGCTCTATTCTCCGGCTTGTTTTTTTTTTCTCCCAAGTCATACTTCCTTCCACGAACGGAGAAGGAGAAGTAAAGTGTCGCTGAGAAGTTGAAGTTTGAGTGCATGACCTGCTAAATTACAGCTGGGAATGACGATCGTAGCGCCATTGTTGCAGGAATTTTAAAAAATTATTTTTAATTGTTGCGTCATTGTTTGAGTTAAGATACTTCTCGCGCCATCTGGCGGCTTTTAAGGTTACTATTGTTGAATTGTAAATTTGAATGTTTCATTGGTAAAAAAAATTGTGATAGTAAAAAATGAAAAACAAAACAGCTGATAGTTTTTTAATTAAAAAAAAAATTTTAATTTTTTTAATTTAGTAAGTAAGAATTACTACTTGATTAAAAAAATTGTATGAAATTAAAATTTAGTTGACACTTGATGTTTTTTTTTTTATTAAAAGAATTAAATAGAAAAAAAAAATTGAGATGTAAGAAATTTGAAAAATTAGAAGTGTAGATTTAAAAAAAATTTTTTTTTAGTTTTAATTTAATAAATTAAAGAAATTTTTAATGTTTGATTTTTAAGAATTCACACTTAGTTATTTTTAAATTTCATATGAATTTTTTTTCCTAATAATTTAGTTGTTTAAACGACCCTCAAAATTATTAGATAATTAATTTCAGTATCATAAAAATTTTTATAATTATCAATAATTAATAACTAGGAACCTTGCAGTCACTACGCGACTGCTGTGACTGGTGAACTATAAATAAATAGAATTTTGTATTATTAACTAATGACTTTTGTTAAATTGCACTGTATTTTCTTAAATATTGATGTTTTTAAAAATATAAGCTCATCCCGATGTTACACTCATCAAGAGCTTTCATTTGAGTACCCGCATGCATTTTTGATATATTTTTCATATATACATATATATAATATATATAAATATATGAAAAATTGATGTGGGTACTCAAACGAAAGGTCTCGATGAGTGTAACTCCAAGATGAGCTTATATCATTAAAAATATCATTAGTTGACAAAATACAATCTCATTTCTTAACTGTTGACATTTTTAAAGATATAAGCTCATCCCGATGTTACAGTCGTCAAGAGCTTTCATTGGAGTACTCACATGCATTTTGATATATTTTA